TGTACATATATTCTCTTGGGCTATGCAGAGACCCAATTAGTTCTCAGTAAATGTTTATGCATATTAATCACCTAATTTGCATAATTGGGCAATTTTTAACTTTCACATTGATGTCCCTAGTACTAATCACATTTCAATGGAATTTGATGCATAGATGCTCTAGGATAATAGACAGACCTAAGTAGTTTTGGGTTAAAATCTGTTTCTATTAATTCCCTAATTAACATAATTCATAATTTTCAATCAATACATTGTGCAGACCTTATTAGTTTTACACTCAAATCTGTTCATAGTAATTTCCTGATTTGCTTAGTTTGGAAATTAAAACGTAACACAATACCGATATTTATAATGCATTCAGTATGTGTCATCTCTTGTATTTTCTTTCATATTACAGGTTGAGATATTTGGTAGTTTTGAAACAGGACTATATTTACCCACAAGGTAAGAAGCAATTTGTCTATTTACACCTTTATTACAGTTTGTACGCGTTTCTTGCCAGGCTCAGTACCAAGTATTACTTATTTGCGTAATAAATTTAATCTTTCTGAATCTTTCTTTTATGTGCAAATTGAGTAAGTATAATGCAGTTTATACAGAAACTGTATTCCATGTTTGTGACTACGTGACAGGACTGTGTGACCATCTTAATTTGAAAGGCAATTGAATGGACTATCTCAGCATATTAACTTGACCTGATTGAACTCAAGCACCTTACGTGTATTGCTTTAACAGTTAAAAGCTGTATCCATCCAATAGAAATTTAATCGATATACCTTGCAGGCCAGATTGAAAAGGATGTTATTGCATTGTATTATTTCCATATAGATTAATATCAAATCTTGCTAGTTGGCACACTTGATTGCATATTGCATGTCTATAGCATAACCTGACAACACTTGATGCTATTACTGGTTTTCGCATGAGATTTAATTCTATCAACACGTTGGCTGTCATGGCACCTAACAGTCTGAGACTGGAACTGCTGTACTAAAAATGGATAGAATAAAATATGAAATATAGGCATTACCCAATGTTTCACGCGAGGTTTAATTAGATTAATGATAACTGGTGTGGGAACTAATTATCTTGTTCTGCTCATGGCCCTGTGAAAATACGACAACCCTTTTGCATTCATGTTATTGTATAAACTAATGTGGGTGTGACAGGGTTGATCATGTAGGGAGGTTAATGAATGTAACCTGTCCTTGTTTCCTCCACTATATCAACTCTACATGAACTAGTGTTGACTGGAAACGTTGACCTTAGCTATACATTGCAATCATTCTTGCATTCACTGTCATGGTAGGAGTGGTCATATTCAAAAGGATAAAGTGTGTATATACCTGAATTCGTATACACCAGTTGATTTTGCTAATATTAATCAAAGGAGCTTACAAAAACATTTTTTCCCTCAAGTGTCACTGACCAGACCTCTCCTACAGTCAAATGTACGAGTTTCAGGTTTCTATGTTACTGAGTAAGCACCCATAACACATAGGGGTTTGATAGTGCCATGGCTTAATTGCTTAACACTAGAATGTGTTGATTGCATCTATTGTTACGCACTTAGAGTTCTGTGCTTTATCCAAAATTGTTATGGGGTCCCCTATACGGTAATGCTCTGGAGAGAGGTATAGACATGCCGACTCAATATCTATTTTTTGGGGAACAAAAATGGCCACCTATCAGTCAAAGATCATCAAAACACAGAGCAAATCACCATGCTTATGTATACCATTATGTTATGTCTCTGTATCTACTTTCAACAAAATCAATCAAAGCTTGTCAGAGAAAAGGTTAAAGATACAGGAAAATATCACCAAAATAGCCGCCAGTTGAAAACCATACTTCCCAAGTTTGAGACTAGATAACTGTTTGATGATCTTCCTATTCCGTACTTCCCCGAGTATAAGCCTATAAGAGTTGAGGGCATCCCTGAGTATACCCCCAGGGTGTTTTTACCGGGCAACAACGACATTTATAGAAATATGCATGTAAAAAGTGTATTTCATTGCATAAAAATCATGACTGGTACGGTAGTTTGATTCCAGCTTTTACGAGAAAATTTACATTAATTGCATGACGGGCGAACGTACAGAAATAGTTCGCACCTTTTCTATTCTGTTATTTACTCAGGATGAACCCCGATGTTGCAATACTGAAATATTTCATATTTCTTTTGAGTAGTAGTTTTCCAAACGGCAAAAATGTGATCGTCAAGTCGTGAAACCTGATCATTGAACATCGTTTCACTTTTTCGAATAATCGTGTCCATTGAGTCTATCATGAACGAGCAAACTATTCTTCGACATGACTTGTTTGCAGCCGTGAAAGGTTTAAATACTTCCCCCATCATCAGTTTATCTTTTTGAAAATTGCAAATCAACAGCTTTTAGGAAAAAAAATCATTTTTTTTTGGTCGAAATCAGTCCTAACAGATCGCATTTTATCATTGTGGTAATTCACTTCCACATTGCATTGAAGAAATTACTTCGTCAATAATCGGAAAACATTCCACAACGAGGATGATGATGAAGATCTTGCCTTTGACTGTTTTGCCACAAACCCTACCCATATTTGAACCGTAAATTCAGACGGTATGTAAACCGTATTGTAATAAAATGTATGTATTTTTATGAACATGTCGTTTCTTCATTGTAAAAAGTGTCGTTGAAATCAATGACGACTTGTTTTGCATGTTTTTCCTCAAAAGGACGCAATATTTCTCCGAAACCAGCGCTGTGAACGAAAAATATAATTTGGATAATTTTTTGAGGTTGGAAAGATGGTGGTCGTCGACTATAAGCTCATTCCCTAATTTTCACGATTTTACATGTTCAGGTCCCTGGGCTTATATATAGGGAAGTACGGTATAATTGTTTTATGTCAACTTAATGTGTTCTACCGGTGTTAACCGGGACCAATCAAACTTGTGAACATGTAGACCTTAAACAAGGTATAACCAATAGTGAATGAATCTTGACCTGTTGTCTGTTGACCTGTTCTATTTGAGTCTGTATTATATTCTCACCTATGCCCTATGTTCAGCCCTCAGGTATATTACGGACTATGTTTTTCTACAGTTCTGTTTTGAATCACATATATAATTATATGCTAAATTGAAGCATCAAGGGATATTATAGTATGGCTATTAACATCATCATCATCTATTTTCTATCTTTGTAATATTTTGATAAATAGGAACTGATCAATTTGATGCTTACAACTTCAGTACTTGTAAGACTGGTTTGAACAAATCACCTTTCTCAGTGTCATCCCCATATACTTGTAGAGGAGAAATATTTCATTTGAATGTTGCATGGACAATCAGCAGGTTTAAATTTTACTAATTTGAGAAGTAATCTATTCAATTGTTGAATAAATTTAAATGTTTTAACTAGTCAGTAGAATAAGAAAAAATAATACAGTGTATAGAAATGCTAATGATCCATTAGGGTTCAGTTCAGTTCAGTCAGGTTTCACTGTTTGTATGTACTGTGTAAATGCGTTAATTATTCACAACAAGGTCTTGCTATTTTTGCTGATAAGTGCAATCTGCTATATTCATGTGAACATATAAAATAAAAATATAACTCATTGAATTTTAAAACTCAGTTATTATGGTCAAATATTAAAACGATGAATTTGCAGTTCTGAGAAATGGAAATATTCACTGCATTTAATTTGAGCAAATTTGATGTTGTTGAGATAGTCACTAGATTATAAATTTATCTATTAGTGAAATAAGTGAAAATAACACCCAGCTAATAATTAGCATTATACTGTAAGTATGTCAATTACAAATTACTGCAAAATTCTCATGGATTATTCAGACAAAACAATATTCAATATAGCAGAGCTCTTGAAATGTGTGTTTGATGCATATCTGTGCCTATCTAACTATAATTAACCAATACCAGTGTAACATATGGATGAGTCTTTTTACCAGGATACTTCATGTACCTCTCTGCCCTTATAAATTTCTCTATAACATCACCTTGCTGCTAAATTCTTGTTTAATTGTCTTTTCTTTTCAAATTGCTATGCAATGTATAAATAAATACTGTATGGATGCCTTAAATGGAGATGAGCCTAGTGAACAATTCCACCCACCCACGCACACATGCACTCGATGTGACCTTTAGCTTATCTGGTCAATGTCCCAACATACCACCTGCTTTGGTTTCACAAATCTATTCTAATTCTGTCATTTACTGACCAGTGATTCCGAAAAAGTCTGCTAGGTTTCATACTGTGCATGCAGTGGATCACAATACATCTTGCATATTTTGGTTATGTATTACCTCGATTGTGTTTATAGCATTACAGGGATGTATTAAAGATGGTTTCCCTACTATAACATTTGTGTGAAATTGTGTGAAAACACATTACATTGCCAGCTAAAAGCCTCCAAGGATTGATGAAATAAAGGAAGAAAAAAAAAATCTGTCAACAGGCATAGTGATATAAGTTGATTTATCATACTGAAGATAAATTTTAAGGAAATTATGAATTATTTTGAAGATGTACCTACCTCTGTCATTTCGTAAACACATGTGCTACTAATAGAGAGAATATAATAATTCTCGTCAACATTGTCAAAGTGCTCATCTCACCTTTTGACTTTTGTGTGTGGGTGGCACAATTAAGTTTTTTTTTTCCACATTGCTTGTTTGCTTGGTATGCAAATGAGAATATTTTTCTTAGTGTTGAATTATTATGTGTAGTTTTTCCAGTGATCTTAATTTGCACTGAAAAACCAAAAATATAAGTTCTGATTAATGGTGAATTTACTATTAACCATTCAGTTTTTGCAACCAAATAACGGCATTTTTTTTTTGTTTAGCTCTGCTGTGTATTAATTTGATGTGACTTTGTCTTTTAAAACCCTAGTGAAATTTATAGACAGAATTAATAAAGAATTTGCCTCATGTGGGAGGTTTACTGTATTTTTAAGTAGTCTGAATATCATCACTTAATTCATCTTGGTGCAATTTTTTCCACAAGATTTTTTCATAAAGTTGCTAAAGTCGATATGGCTCACTGTCAAAAGTTCGCCACTGTAACAGTTTTCCTCTGACTCTTGATAGTTGCAAAATATAATGGGTCTGCAGTATTTTACCAATTTCCAGCGTTATAAAAATACATAAGAAATTAGATTGGTGGATTTCATTGTGTGTATTGTTCTACAATAAGTACTTTCCCAAAATGTCTTGCCACATGTTGACTAATAATATGTACTATCCAAATTACTTCACCAAAAATTTGTAATCCCGCACTTTGTTTTACCTGAATATATTAATTAATTATTGTTACAAACTTCCAGTTAGCTTCTGCTGGATAGATACTAGTAGCTTAATCAAGTTGAATTTATCGAGTTAGTATCCAGATGCATTTCAGATAATAATACCTTACATTAATATTTTTTGTCCATATGGTGAATTTTACAGATATTTTCATCAAAAAAAAGTGCTTGTGTTGACTCATTGTGAGGCACAATTCTCACTAATCATGATTTGTAATGCAATTTATTCATTAAATTATATTAATATTTCAAATTAGGTCATTGATATTTTGTTTATCACTTTTCACATATTTATAATGCAAAAGAAAGTAGCGTTGTCGTGACTACGAGATTATACTAAAAATAGAACTGACGTAACCATAGAGCATTGTTTCAATGTGTGAAACAGATTCAACCCCTCAACTGATTATTTCATTAGTTTTGAGTGATTTTAATTAAGTTTTCTGCCTGGATAATAGCCCATGCCGTAATGAACCATGCTGTTTAATGGACCTTTAAATCGCTGTTCAGTATGTATCAATGAAAAGATGACCATATTACAGTATGCAAAACAAATGCCAGAGGTTTTTGTTGCGGCTTTGTTTTGGCTGCTGCGAACATTTTGATTTTTTAAAATTATTTTAAATAATGTAATCTTGAGGGTACTTAGGAAAACTATTTCATCTTGTTTGTAATATAGCAAACGTATTTATTTCATCTAGTTACGTTTGTAATGGCAAACTATATTCAATATATCTTATGTTTGTAAT